AAGGTATAGACATAGTTCAAATCTCACGACAACTTAAACCATGGATTCGTGCACAACGCTCGACGACGAGATTCGGTGTTAGTTTCTTCGGATCGATTCAGAGGGTTCAACGGTGATGACTGTGCCTCCAGGGTGGGTCCCTAGGGGCACGTGCATAAAGACTTTCTGTCAATTATCGACATTTTTTCATTTAAACGGATGTATTACGAAGGGAGTAGCTAGTTAGTTTTTTCATTTTTGGCAACCCTTTTTTTGGAGGGACATACTAGCTTTTTATTACATGTGTTTTTTTGGCAAACTAGCTAGTAGTAGTTTAGTTGAAGGGGTGCTACACGGCCAATGCGCGCTGATTCTGTCCACGGATTTGCATATTAGTAATACTCTATGAGCTATTAGCGAAAGATACTGTCCCCTCCCTGAGAAAAAATATCGAGCTGTAGTATTAAAGGCGACATTCAGCAGGTAGCAGAAGTTGGTTGGGCTTGATTACTAATTATGTCATCCAACGCTGGCAAACAGATGCTGAATTGCTGCGGCTAGTACTCCCTCCGTCCAGGTGCATAGGGCGTCTAACGAAAAATTAGTATTTCAAATATATAAGTCACCATGCATGGAATAAGTTCCTCATTCTTCATGATCATTAATTTTCATTTTGCATGCTAACATTTTGATTGGTTGGCACATTAAATTGGAATTGCATGTTGCTATTTAGGAATTAATGGCATGGGAAACCAACGTTGTGGTTGGCTCCTCCCAATTTTCCAAGTCGGCCAAATAGAAATCATTATTGTCATTGATTTTTGGTTTAGTCTTCTTCATCCAATCTCCACACACCTAGATTGCGATGCAGCACCTTAGATGTCCTATACAACTGGACGGAGGGAGTACCACATCTGCATAGAAAGCGATGCCATGATTTTTCTTTTTTTTTTAAACACAATACAGATGTTCTTTTCATATTTTGCGTATCCATACAGACGTTCACATGTTCACATACAGTACGTGCGTGCGTATCCATGTTCGCGAAAGCACAACTATGCCTCCCTCCAAAGCAAAACCGTGCCTCTCGCGGAAGGAGAAAAAACAGAAAACGCATTCTTTTTCTGTTTCCGAGAGTCACGGCCGTGACTCTCGCGAAATAATAAAAAAAGAACGCATTTTTTGGCGCAATTTTTTTTTACTTTTTTTCCAAAAGTTAAAGAAGATCGGTGTAAAACCGAAACATTGAAAAAATCCGTAGAAAACCGTTTAAAAAGCCGAAAACGTGTGCGGAAAAATAAAAAAATAAAATCCGGAGGGAGTGCCCAGAGCGCGACACGTGGCGGTCGGTCGAGAGCGCGCCAAATGACGCTGATCATTGTGAGCCTTCCGAAGGAGCGCTTGTTAACTAGTTGTTCTCGTTGATCGGTGGTCAGGGGCATGGGGCAGCCTGACCCAATGGCCCGCTAGTTGGGTCAGGCTCAAGCCCAAGATTTTGCTCAAGCCCAAGATTTTGGCCTGCTAGGTTGGCTCCAGAGCCCAAAAAACGCTCAAATGTGTAACTGTTTGGAAGTCTTAACGAAATTAAGAGCCAATTCCCCACATAGCTGCAGATTTAAGACTTTCGGAGTATGCTGTGCGGGCCTGGATTCAATAAAAAAGTGCAACATAAAACTACACTTTTTAAAAACAATGTTCTGGTCGATGCAGATTCAGTCATATACTCCCTCCGTTCCTAAATAAGTCTTTGAAGAGATTCCACTATGGACTACATACGAAGCAAAATGAGTGAATCTACACTCTAAATGCTTCTACATACATCCGTATGTGGTCCATAGTGAAATCTCTACAAAGACTTATATTTAAAAACAGAAGGAGTATATCATATATGAATTTTTATCATCTTCAGTTCAGATATGTTGTGGTTCATGAAGATTTAGTCAAATTCAGATCATTTGAGCACAAGCACTGTTGCACTGATATTATAAATGCACAAGTTCAGTTCAGTCTCAATTGCAATATTCTTGCACATGTATTGATATCTTTTCATGCACAAGTAGTCTCATTTCAACCATGTTACAAACTGTGCAAAAGTAGTCTCATGTGAGCTTGCTGAAACAGATGGCCCTTGGTGCTCGCTGAAACAGACAGAGTTTCAGCCTTCTCGGCTTGCTCAGCAGGTGCATTGGCATTTGTGGCAGCAACGAGTTCATGAAATAACTGCTCGCTGGGGGAGACGGAGACGGTTCCGCGGAGTGGCCTCCTCTCCCGTCGCCGCTCACCCAAGCCCCCTCCAAGGCTCCAACAACATGCTCCCAATCTTGCATCACTCCAAACCAATCTGTGAGAGTGTTTTCCATTGAAATCAACAACCCTCTACTAGTGAACTCATCAGGTGGTCCACTCATCTTCTTCTGCAAGCATTGCTTGCTCCACAAACTACATCATGGATCTATTAATTGTGTTATCAAAGTAATGTTGGTCACAAGTCCTAGACTTCTAATCATAAAGTAGATAAGCAACAAGAAGTAAGAATGACAGATAGGAGTAAAATGGTACCCAGGTCCCAGGAGCATGTGCTCCTTCAGTGGACGGTAAATAAATAATTCTGAGTGTCTAAAATTCAGGTAAAATTACACATGCAAATGTTTGAACCATTCAGATTCCAGTAGGTTTTCTTGGAAAAACAAACACTTTTTTGCGCCTGAGCAAAAGAAACAAATCTGGGCTCTAAAATGTAATCTTTAGAACCACAAAACTTGTACAGAAAAAAAGGAGACCAGCATTTTCAACCAGGGATTGGGATTGGGATTGCTGTTCTTTTCAACCAGCATTTTAAGTAATGGCCAACAAAGTAAAAAAGGAACAAATGTACAATAAACAATCATGTTATTGCATGACTGCAATATGATGAATTCTAGTGCGTGATATTTATAATCTTTAATACAACAAAAACTCAATTAGTATGTTTGCAAACTGCGAAGACCCATCAGAATAGAGACCATACTGTACCTAGATAGTGGTAGCACTACACATAATATTATACAAAGGTCATAGTTGTTAAGTTATTATTTTCAACGTTTTTCCCAGAACACCAATGCACAAGCACTGTCAGTTATATCTAAGCAACGGCCCACAACATCCATATGAAACAGCATAATATACACCCCAAATGGAGCGGCCTTACAATTTTCCAGTTAAAGCTATAATCCACATTGATCATTACTACTGAATCAGCACAAAAAGCACCAGCAGCAGCAACAATGATGATAATACTAATACTAGGAGCACTGTGCACTACAGCAGATCAATCGTTGACAAAGATCAGAACAAAGTTTCAGGGCAATGATCATTTCACCATGCTAAGCATATACTCCCTCCGACCGGAAATACTTGTCGGAGAAATGCATAAAAATGGATGTATCTAGAACTAAAATACGTCTAGATACATCCATTCCTCCGACAAGTATTTCCGGACGGAGGGAGTATTAAATTACTAAAGAGTGCAATTTGCTATTTCACCTTGTGATTTTCAGCAGCTAGGATCTCCTTGAGTGATGGTGCCTCTGGTGAGTCGGTCATGCTCATCTGTGCCTGCAGAGTGCAGACCTTCAGCTCCATGGTTCCCAGCAACTGCAGGTGCTGTGTAGTAGTCTGATGCCATGATCCTGTCTAACTTGGACCTCACCGCAGCATCTACAGCAAAAGGCCACAGATTTCAATCAGCAATCACCTCAAATCAAACCAAATTACAAACCTACATCAACCCTCACATGTAACAGAGGAGCCAGGGTGGATCGGCGCATCAGCACGGGTTAGCCATAGGCGGGCATGATGGGCACAGGCCTGGAGTGCATCGTGGTGGGAGACACCAACTGCGGAAGCAGGGCGAGCCGCGGCAAGGGCTGCCACAGCAGACACTGCGTCAAGGTCGTTCTCCACAAGCAGGTCCGCGGTATCATCCCATACGTAGCCGTGGGTGATGCAGCTGCTCCGTTCGTGCTTGCGCGCAACCATGGTGGCGATGAACTCGTTCGGTGACTTGACATAAAAAAGGGAGCCGAAGTAGATGAGCGCGAGGAGGTCCTGAACGGACAAATCGGAGCCAAAGGATGAGGAACCGGCAGCAGGTGCAGGGACGGTGGAGAGCTCCTTGGTGAGAGAGGTGGAGAGTGGTACGCGGAGGCGCTCAAGCTCGTCAATGAGCGCGGCGATGACGGGCTTGGAGTGCATGAGCTCCTTCTGCTCCTGGTTAAGCATCTTGCCGGCAGCGACGGACTCCTCCATCTGCGCGATGCGATTCTGCTTCTTCCGCAGCACACGGAGACGCTTCGACACCACCGAGAGCACCGGCCCTTCCTTGATTTCAGATATTGTCCCTTTGGTTTCAAATTCTTTAACCAACTCTGCAAAAAATGCAAAACATAATGTAAGGCAACAGTAATGTTTTCATCAACAAAAAAGCAACTAATTACATGTGTTATCAGACTACCATATTAACTAGTGCTTTTCCGGTTATTACAAATTTTTGTTAACTCCATAAATTTATTAGGGACGAGTACCTGAAGTCGTGCCAAAAGAGCTAAAAAGAACACACGGTTCATATGTTGGTTCGAACCACGCCGTCTTTTGAGGAGCACACTGCGCACCAGACTCGAGCTTCAAACTTTTGGTGTCCACAGTAAGTACATATGCTGTCGGATGGCACATGCTCTCCTTCGCCATAATGTAAATAACATTGTCATCAAGCAAGCTTAATGTAGGACCAGCACTAGTCAATTTCTTCCAAGTCAAATTGTTATCCTCATCAAACATCCCAGGCAACAAATTCGGCAAACTTGAGTCGGTGAAAGATATCTCAGACGTATCAATCGTCAAGCCATCACACCAAACATCTGAATAAATTGATCTAGTCCATGTTTTAGCCATCCAGACATAATCCTTTGCTCGCTTCATGTTGCAGAAAGCATCTTGCACATGAAAATCTAACTCAACACACTTGATCAAATCATTGAATATCGTCACATGACGGTGTGGTCTTGGAGTGAGATTCTCGAAATTTCAAATGGAACTCAGACGAATCACACGGTTCCGGAACCGGCAACGGAACAAAACGGATGGTAGGCTTTTTATCCAAAACATTGCATAAGAGAATTCCCCACCAGAGATCAATCCAACCTATGATACCCTTTTCTGCATATGCCACGCTCATGGCATTATGAAGCAATAGCTTATCCCTAGCATTCCTTGTCTCATTATCCTCAGCGATACAAGCGACCTGAGAGTGCCAATCATTTGTGTCGGATCGATATATGTGGAGTGTGTAATGTTTGCGAGACTCAAGTCTGAAATATTCAACATGTGGGAAAATGACAGCAAAGTCTTCACTGTTATCACTAACAGGCAAGATGGCAGCCATGTTTGGCGAAAAAGAAGACGGGTATGGCCTTGCAAGAAGATGAAGAGAGGCGAAATCCGGCCCTGCTTTGTAAACAAAATAGTCGATGAACCGCAAACAAGGGTTGACACTGTCCGAGAAGGTGATAGCCAGCAGTACAAAGCCTCCAGTTACGCCAAGTATACGAGGCTGCGCTGCCAAGCGATCCCCGGTGTGATCAACGCAGCTGACCAGGCACAGCGAGATGGCTGGAGGGTCAGCTGCTTCAAAAGAAACCTCCAAGTGAACCCCTTTGCTGTTCTTGGATTTTGCGGTGGTGGAATTTTTCAACTGGCCCACTAAACATCTTCTATCCAAGAGGATTTGGGGGTGGCGGCCACACGGAGAAGGATGGTCCGGCATTGCCATGATGGAAGTGAAAGGGCGCCGATGAAGATATGGATCGTGGAAGGCGGCGAATGGCCTAGCGCTCGGGGGTCGATGTCAGGGAATCAGGGTAGATGAGCTCGGACTATGGCTGCCTGGGAGGCAGGGCGGACGGCCGGAGACGGAGCATCGTGGCAAAGGCCGAAGGTGGGAAGCGCCGGGATGGCGGTCGCGGTGCGCGGCGACGGCAGGCGGTGGCGGTGCGCGACGACGGCAGGCGGTCGCGGTGCGCGGCGGCGACGGTGGAGCCGAACCCTAGCGAGGCGGCGGCACGAGGGAGACAGATTGAGCGAGGGGAAGAAACCGAAGGAGCGAGGCAGATTTTTTTTTATTATGGTAATAAGGAAAGAGACAGATTGTGGAACACTCGGGCCGCCGGCCCACGTAGTGTAAGGCGTAGGAGCGAGTTGTTTCCTGTGAGATTTTTTTTGGAGGATTTTTTTTTCTGTTTTATTAGTTCTCGGTGGGTTTTTTTGGTTTTCCTGGAAAACACAAGATTTATTTCAATTTTATTAAAGATATTTCTTAAAAACATACATACCATTTTTGAAAAATTGAGAACATTTTCTAATATGTTTGTGAGCATTTTATGAAAAAATATAAATACTTTTTAATATCTGTAAACATTATTTAATAAGTGAACATTTTTCAGCGACTTTTGTAAATGACAAACGTTACAATTTTTTGTACGATATGGGAGTCTCCAGAACCGTCTAATGCCTATCTAGCGGCTGCTATTCTCCCTGGCGGTTCAGTGCATGCAAAGTGTGCGGGCTGCGTTGGGGTTATGGGGCGTGGGCTTACGTTCCTGATTTGTAGACACAGTGACCAACATGCGACGCGGATGACAGGCCCGCCTCCTGCACATAGATTGAGTCGCATGCACGCCCGCCTCCTTGTATTGACTTCGATTCGACGGCGAACCGCTCCCACTCACCACTCGCATTCATCTCAGGGGTTCGCATATTCAATTTGGAAATCGCACTCTCTCTCCTAATTTCTCTCCATGTTCCCCTACGCTCACCCCGATGGTGGAATCGCCGCGCCATTGATGTCGGTCCTCTACTGCTTCAGGATGGAGGGTGGGCAATCAGAAGTGAGCATGCATCTCAACTCCGCAGACACCCTCCTTTTTTCTCGAGCGTTGTTTTTCTGTTGTTTATCTTGTTGACGTCGATGATGTGTGGATGAAGGGGGTCACGGGGTACTGATAGTGCTTCCAGCCCATCAATCGCCACAAGGCTAACTAAGTGTAGCTTCGTGGTCCTATTCGCACCTCTCATTTAAGTGTCGCCGTCTGCACATGGCACGTACATGTGAGTATTTTGAATATACTCATAAGTTGCAAAGAAATGAAAACAGAGTATTCATGTGAGGTGAGTCAAGATAAATAGCTAAGGGTTTTATTTTCCAGGAATCCATTTTTTTCCTGAACTAGAAAAGAAATTTTGAAGTTAAGAGCATATTTTGTAAGCTTAAAGATCGAAGTGAAGCACACCAATATGTTCAATCCCGATCAAGCATCATAAACTGCGCATACATCCCAGTGGCCACAAATCAGTTGACCTATGTATAAAAAGAGTACAAGTCAGAGTAAAAGTTTTCATAGGGACTAATATATGTTGTCAAATAATTAGATAGATAGCGAACCAATCTGTGGTTGGATGGTTAGAGGGACTGTGGTATCCCAATCTACCAGAGTTTAAATCCTGATGCTCGCATTTATTCCTGAAATTTATTTCAGAATTTCCCGTGATGCGCATTCAATGGGAGAAGACTTTCCCGTCGACGACGAGGTGTCTACGGCGACTTCATAAATTTCAAGATGATAAGCCGGCTCAGTCTTTCGGAGGTGCTTATAGGGGTAGGATGTGTGTGGTTCATAGGGGTGAGTTTATGCACGTGTATATGAGCGTTTTGCGTCTGTACTATGTTTAAAGTTAATAATGGATAGATAACATCTGCAGCCGGGCTTGGCGAGTCGGAGTTCACCTTAATTGTATTTTTACTTTTGAATGTCGTGCCTCCGACACGGAAGCACATAGTTTAGCCAAGTTTTCTCTCGACAGAGGTCCAGGGCGCCACATTTGGTTGGGTCAACCCCATAGCCTTCGTTGTATCCCACACTCTGTGGTCTTTGATGAATAAATTGGTTTTACCCCCTAAGAAAAGACTGGCCATGTTGAAGATGCGACGGGATTGGCGTTGTGAGATCGGATCTCCCAAGCGACAAGGATCGTTTCGCAGAGTGGCAGTGCAACGCGATGTAGAGCCCTCGGAACAGGGCATGTGCTTGAGAACACAACACACGACTCCACAAAAAATCTTCTAAATCAAAGGTCGTATGATAGGCCGCTCAAGGAGAAAGATGAACTCGGGTCAGATTTGTTCCGCACTGAAAACATGTTCACAAATTGATGCACTTCTTGGGCGTTTCCTAGAGTTTGAACCGTCCAATTTAGCTGAAATTTTGAGGGGTTGTAACCATGACAATCCACACAATTTGCGTGGTATGGTCTTCGGAAGGATGTCAGACTTGGCCGCTATCCTCCTTCTAACCTTGTGTGGATTTTTGTCAAATCTGATAGCACCTCCGTCTTTGGATGTAGCCGGAGATCCCACCATTGGATTGTGTTCAATTTTTACAGGGTTGATGTAGGCTCAGTTTTACACGATCTCACTGAAAGGACCGACAAAACAATGTTTGAGGAGGCGGATCATCGTAAACGGGTCCGTCGTCGTGTTGTTCTGCATAGTCGTGCGAGAGAGATGTCGATGTCGGGCCTACGAGCTTAGTGTTTGAACTCAGGCTTGGTGGCCAAAACTCAAAAAAAGACGATGGTTAGGCTTTTGTGGCCGAGGAGACTCCATATCCATTCCTCTCCAACGGGGACATATGCCAATGATTTGAACTCCAAATTTTACAACATTATCTCCATATGCCCCTTCAATTATGTATGTTACATACTCTTTTATTTTGTTTTGTCAGTAAACCCTATCTTTATATGTGCAACCTCACTCATGCGAAACCTCAACGGAGCACTCGTTGATGCGGAGAAACGATAGCTTGGCAGAGAGATTTGGTTGGTGAGTACCTTCGTCATAGTTTACCAGAATTTTTTTTTTGCTAACCTTACCTTAGGTGTTTAAGTTGTTAGCCACACTAATTTTGCCACACTTTTTGCGTGTGTGGCATGTGGGTTTATTTCTCAAAAAGAGAATATCGCCTTAGGTGTGACTAAAACGAAACAACCACCTAACTTTGATCAAACTAGCCCAACTAACTTAAATGTGTGGCTGAGTGTGCTTACGCGTGGCTATGAACCAACCAAACAGACCCGTAGAGACAAAGGGCAGGCAAAGCTCGCTGGAGATGGTTAAGGCGTGAATGAACTTCCCAACCAACCAACCCAACATCATGTGTCCCAGGCTTGCAGAACATGCTCCATTATTTTTCGTCTCATGTGAGGTCATGTGAGGTATGGGTTACACTTATACAACGCCTCCGGTGCTCACATCCCACACCATTGCAAGCAGCTCGCGTTCACCGCAGATCCTCCTCATGTTCCGGGTGCGTCTGACGGAACCTATTTCTCGTCGAGGCGGCGCATCGAAACCTACCATTCCACGGGCAAATTAGCCATATTTACTAGCTCCAGAATCACGGGCAGCAACAACAGCAGCAGAGGCAGTCAGAGCTCATGTAACGATATACAGATTTACATGCAGCCGCTCGCGCTTCTCACGGCGGTGAACCGACGAGGAGTCCGCCTCCAGTTTCCTGGCCGGAAACCTCGAGGGGCCTCGCCGCCGCCGCGCCTTGGCATCATCAGGCCACCTCCCAGATCCCAAACAAACAATGGTTAGCTGGTCCTTGCAAGTCACCAAGTTCAGGCACCGTTTGTCATCAGTGGCTGATACTTTGCATAATCTATCCCGTTCAACCTAACACAGCACAAGACCTGCTCAGGTAGTTCTTCGGGTTTGTTTCCCTGCAGAGTTGAAAGAAGCAGGAACAGTAAATAAACTATCTTGCATATGGCAAGGTAAAAACGATGAGGTATTAGCTCAGAAACAGTTATATGAGTGACATACCTGGATGGTTAGCCCAACATCTAGCATGCATATTTTTAGCCTGTCCAGGAATGTCTCGAAACCTTTCCTTGAGATGTAGCCAAATCTATGCATGTCAATGTCAACCTCAAAGTAGTTATCACCCTGCACAAAAAGATAAGATGCTTTCATACTCCTTCAATGAGTAACAAAAGTACAGGACCTAATGGTATCTTATAGCATTGAACTTGTTGCTCAGTGGCCCACTACCTAAGTGCTACTACAACTACTAGAAAGGTACTAAAAGCACAACTAACCAGGAAAAACTGATGCTGAGGTCTAGAAAGCACAGGCTTCTCATTGTATGCATGCATTAGCTTCCTCTCTGCGGCACTTAAAGGAAGGTCCTCCAGATTAGCCACCCGTCCAAGTATCTTCAGCCGTTCCCGAAATGATATACTTGTTTCCATAGGAAATCCTTTTATTTTTTCTACATCATCATCAACCAACCTCTGTTTGGGCAGTCAAACAAGAAGAGTCACAATGTTGTCGACTTCTAAAAATAATTACTACAGGAAAAGGGCTGACTACATATGCTAATTCACGAGTGCTTTCAAATGCAAAAGTGCCTCTGTGCCAAAGGTGGCCATTAGCAGATTATCATTTATAAATTGAATTCCTGAATAGATCTCCTTTACTGAAACCACACATTTTATAGTGTCAACCATCAGTCAGCAATGCATGAAATTGTGTAGAATACACCTTTTATAGTTTTTATCTTGATCAACTATAGAGTTTATGCCTATAAAGTTGACCCTACAGCCCATAACTTTAAAGAAAATGCAGTATATACCTTTTTACCTTCGTAAAATATAAAGGTTTTAGCTCTAGGCCTGAAATCGCCTTTCGGTTATCACTAAAGCTGATAT